TTAAAATTTGTTTTGGGGGGTTTCTAAGAGAGAGAGTTTCACTATGTTGCCCTTGGTAGAGTGCCATGGCATCACAGCTCATAGCAACCTCAAATTCTTGGGCTCAAGCGATTCTTTTGCCTTATCATCCCAAGTAGCTGGGACTACAGGCACCCACCAAAACACCCAGCTAGTTTGTTGTTGTTGTTATAGTTATCATTGTTGTTTGGCAGGTCCGGGCTGGGTTCAAATCCGCCAGCTCCTGTGTATGTGGCTGGCGCCCTAGCCATTTGAGCTATAGGTTCCAAGCCCCACATTAAAATTTGGACTATTAAACTCAGATTCTTTTAAACTATAACTATAAAAGGTAAAGTCACTTTCTGCCAAAATGGTGCCAAGTCTATCAATTGGTGAAGAATTTAGATGTGGGCAAGCAAGGTGGCTCAAATCTATTAAAATCCTAGCACTCTGGGAGGCAGAGGTGAGTGGATTGCTTGAGCTCAGGAGTTGAAAAGCAGCCTGACCAAGAGGAAGATATTCTCTTTACTAAAAATAAAAAAACCAGCTAGGCATTGTGGCACACGCCTGTAATCCCAGCTACTTGGGAGGCTGACACTACTCTGGAGCCCAAGATTTTGAAGTTGCTGTGAAGTTGCTTGGCTATGATGCCATGACATCTCTACCCAAGGTGACAGAGACTGTGTCTCAAAATGAATAAACATTTTTTAAAAGTACAAACCTAATTTTCTACATGTAAATATCTTCGTACTTACTGATTTGGGTCTGATCCATAATCCACCAGAACATCAACTAGTTTTGTAAGGCCTAATAATGCTGCAACAAAAAGTGCCGTCTGGCCCAGGGAGTTCACTGCATCAACATGAATTCCTGTAAAGCAAATACCAAAATCAATACAAATATCAGGAATTTTCTTGAGATAAAGCTAGGGGAAAAATTAAATTTCTTTATAGTATACACACATACACACCCAAAAGGTGAAAGGCCAATTAGAAAGTAAGCCTAGTGTTCATGCATCAAAAACATTACTAATCCCCTCCCCGCAAAAAAGTTATTAACTGAACATATATACATGATTTACAGAAATTGACTGAAGCAAAATAAGACGCTTGTCAGTTGTACGAAGTGATAAGAAGTTAATAATACTGGTTAATAATACTGGATGTGTTGAGAATAGGGTAATACAAAAAGACATCGTTGGGGAGAAGAATAAAATTAAAAAAAAAAAAAAAAAAAGACAACCCTAGTAAAGAAGACCCCTCCCTCAAAGACTACAATATGGGAAAAGGTACGTAAAGCATAATGACCCCCATAATTGTCAATTCAATTAAAAATCTTTTTTTTTTTTTTTT